ATCTATCTATCTATCTATCTATCTATCTATCTATCTATCTATCTATCCATCCATCCATCCATCCAACCATCCATCCTTCCATCCATCCATCTGTCTGACTATCCTCGCTGTCTAGCCTTTTGAATTCAATTTAAGCACAGAATACACCGACTTGATGAGTATTTAGTTCTTTAATAACATTGTTTTACCAAAATAAACAAATTAAAAAAACATATCCAATGCATAATTTCCAGTGCTTTAACCTGAGATTTATACATTTACTTCATTACCATCATGCTTAATTCTCCAAATCATCCTCTTCTTGTATTTATCTTTCTTTTTTTATGTCTTCAAAGAACCTGCATTGTTGTTTTTTTTGTTCTTCAATGCCCATAGGAAATCAACTACACCATGCTCACATATCTATTTTGGAATGTGTTTCAAGTGCAAAACATCAAATATAATGCAAGAAAGGACACTGGACACAAAAGAAGGATAAGGGATTACCTAGACAAACAAAGAAAAACTTTGACAAGAAATAAATGCAAATGAGAAAAACAGACACATGAGAACAAACTCCATATACACTGTATTAAATTAGAGAATAAATAAGAATACTTAATGGAGAACATTTTATGTTGTTGATAATAATTAGAAGTGCTTATCTTAAAGAACCAGGCCAACTGGTAGAAATGGCTAAAGCGATGTTTCATACTTAGACCTGCAAGGTCAATGAATCATTTGGTCAGTTTGGAAGATAATGTGTTGGTTCAAATCAAGTATTTGCTATTGAATATTCTAACAATGGTGAGCAGTGCTAGTCTACTGTGCAAATGCACCAAACATGTAAAAAGAAGAAGAAAGGAAATGCAAAGTTCTTGTTCCACTACTAGCTGTCTCACTACTAAGGAAGATCCTTCACCAGACAAAAGGATCAGATCTCAGACTGGACCCCGTCGGTCAGGCTCAGTTGTGGCTCCCGATCCGTCTTAGTCCCTGTAGACGGGCGTTATCTGTCGTGGGGGCATGTGTGGTGGGTGGTAGGAGTCATACGGCCCTTCTGAGTGTACATCATAACTGTTCTGAGTTTGATAGAGAGCCTGGTCCACAGGGGAGGGGGAGTAGTGGTGCGGAGGTGGGTAATGTGGGGAGGTCTCCTGTTTGGTCACCAGGTTACTGCTTATGCTCAAAGGTGGTGTAGGGGGGCCATCATATGGAGGTGTTCCCACCCCGCCAGTGTTATACTCGTGTGGGGAGTGATTCTCATACTGTCTTCCTTTCATGGCCCTCAGGTGAAGCATGTGAGTGGAATCAAATGTGCCATATGGGGGACTTGGCAAACCTGGAGAGGTGTAGCTCACCACACCACTGAGAGGGTTAGGTGGTGGACGAATTCCATGTCTTTCGTCAGGCCTCATCCCGGCCCCAGCAGCTGGCCCCAGCTGTAAGCAGCCAGCTACCAGGTTGGTTGTGGGTTGCGAGAGGCCCTTACACAGCGTCTCCATGAAGGCCCTGCTCTCTGTGGAAAGCCCCCCCTCTAACGCCTCAGACAGAGCACAGATGTAGTTGCGGGCCAGCCTCAGCGTCTCAATCTTGGACAGTTTCTGTGTTTTGGAGTGACAGGGCATGATGCTACGAAGGTTCTCAAGTGCATCATTCAGGCCGTGCATTCGCGAGCGCTCCCTGGCATTAGCTTTTACACGTCTCGCACGGAAGCGCTCAAGCCGGGCCTTGGTCATCCGCTTTTTCTTCGGCCCTCGTCGCTTGGACTCATTCTCATCCTCTTGTCCTTCCTCCCCATCTTCCTCATCTTCCTCTGCATCCTCACTGCCCAACTCCCTGGCCTGTTGGCTCACTCTACCTGGCTTATAGCGATGCAGACTAACAGAATCGTCTCCCTCAGGCGAGCTCATGTCTCCGTCCATCCACTGCAGAGGACTGGCCACCTCCTCTTCCTCCGCCTGTCTCGCGTATGGCTTAATCATCATAGTACTCTACAAAACAGGAAAAACCCCTTTTGTCACACACATTTTCAGGAACTGTGAGGTTTAAAAGTATCTTAATTATTGCGGTTAGTTCACAAAATGGTTTTCATGCTGTATTTTCAAAGCCTCTATCAGCCTTTGCATTTTTTCTAACTATTCTTTTTATGAAATCTGTGCAGTAGAATCGTCATAAATAATTTAAGTGTGTTACACTATGGTCAACATCTTCATTGTTCAATCTTCATAAGGAGCAGTTGCTTGCATTAAAGCCTTCTAAATTACTTTTGACATCTACGGGATTTGATAAGGGGATATCCAACGTTATCAAAAATGTAATTTTCTGTTTTAGTTAAGACCTTTTTTATAACATTTTTCTCTCCTTCAGATGTTACTAAGACTATGATTAGTGTCAAGTAAATTTAGTCAGGGATTAACCTTCATGCACAATCTCATAAACTGAACTAACACATAATGCATTAAAATCCAACATCCCAGTTTTTATAGTACTGAGTAACGTAACATTTTCAGGGGCACTATAATTTGTCGTTAATATTTTATACACCATGACATTTTTACTCTAAACTACTCATTCCGTGGATATTTCTTCAATCTGGGTTTATATTTAAGGTCTGCCTTGTCAAGGCTCTAAAAAACGTACAATTTGTTGCAGCCACTACTATTATCAAATCAAAAGTAGTAAATAGTATCTTGATTATCTCTAAATAGTTGCTGGTTGCTGTCCATGAAGTGGCCCGTGAGTTTCAGCACCGGACAGTTCCCTTATGAGGAAAAAACTAAACTAACTTTACACCCACGGATTAAACATTATCAGAAAAACGTTTTGGCATCAAGAAAAGAACTGGTTCGGAATGAGAAATCAAAAGATGAAATGTTGTTTTTTTCTATATATAAATGCATTGTCTATTGTATCAACTGTCCCCCCCTCTACTGCCCAGTCGAGGTCAGCCTAATCTCAGTCATCTTGTAAACTGGTAAAGCTCCGGCAAGTCACTGACAGGACTTCAATCTGGGGCAGCGCAGGATTTACTGTGTGGATGGAGCGCCGACCATGGGATTAAATGAAAGATCAACATCCCCCCGATCACTGGCCTAACAGAGGGTTCAGGCTGAATTTCAAAGCCAGGGTTCTTGTGTAGCTTTAAAATGTGTGCTTTTTAAAAGGCTGACTGAATAAGTATAATTTACATCATTTCTATTTGTCCAGCAAAATAGTCAAAGTAACGTTGACATTTACAGATGACCGAAATCATTGTTGTTTCACGTTCAAAATACGAACGTTTTTTTTTTTTTTTTTTTTTTTTTAAAAAACTCACTATTTACTAAATTCTATTAAACACTTTTTTTGGGTGCGTGTCTGATTAGACAAACTAGAATGACAAACTGTGCCCATCAGTGTCTGAAACATACCCGTGCTGATGCGTGCTGGGGTCGCCTCGGGAACTTGGGGAGATGCTGGTCCTTTTGCGCACGGATGATGACAGTCTGGACAGTGCTCGTTAAACACTGTGGAAGTTGGCTGCTGTCCCCTCGCTCTCAGCAGTTGTCTCAGTGCTGGTCACTCTGCAGGGGCTCCCAGTTTTAACCCCCACGTTAAAGCTCCTCCTCCCACTCCCATCCAACTCCTGCTGACGCGCTTCAGCCTGCGCGTGGCCGGCCCGTGGCTAGGGCCCCCTGGAGTTCCACTTGTCGCGTGCTCGCATGTGCATGTGTGTGTGTATGTGTGTGTGTGGGGGGGGGACATAAAGATGTGCATAAGCACAGACAAACTGCAGAGGCCCGGTCTTTTGTTGCTTTGCGCGGGCGGGCGCCAAATCCGCGACACTTTTTTTTTTATTGAACGGTGGGGAGACGCGCTCAGTTGGCTGAGCCTAACTGTATATGACAGCTTGAAGTTGCGTGAGAGCAGGTGTTTGCTCCGTCTCCTGTTGCAGCCATCCGTCCCCTTCCCAATGCTGATATAGGCTGTTGAACAAGTTCATCTTTCCCAAGAGGCTGCTCCGAGCAGAAGGGGTAAGGCTCGCATCAAGTGTGCTGCTGGATTGACAATATCCTTAAGGGACTCATTCCACCCCCTTCTCTCTCTGCAGTTTATAGGTGCAGGGGCTTTTGGACTTTTACGTTTTTAAGTTTGCAAATGCCAGTCTCAGAGTTTAAAACGTGCTTTTTTATATCTTACCTGCCAGGTTTCTGAGTGGAATATCATAGCTTTTAAGCAGCTCAGATACTACTTACTATCCTAAAAGTAAAACAAAATGATGTTTTGGAGCCCCTTTTTATGTAAAACTTTTTTATGTATTTAATATAAACTTTTCTATAAAAGAGAACCGTAAATGTATTATCATCTACTAGTCGTACTGTCCTCTCACTATCTATCTATCTATCTATCTATCTATCTATCTATCTATCTATCTATGTATTCTTATTTGTTATGCAATTACTTTCTTTAGTAAAGTGATTTTAAAAATGTACTTATCTAAGAAAGATTTGTAAAGTAGTTGTAACATTGACTAAAACACACTGACACTGAAATACATGGCATTTGCTTGAGAAAAAAACCCTGAAAATAATTCACTACTAATAATTTAATAAGTATAGTAATAATCCAATAAATCTCAAATATATACAGAGAATGTGATGTATTGGAGGAAATGGGCACAGTTTACTCTTAACAGAGAGGTTTTAGTTTGGTTCAGGGTTATCTGCAAACCCATACCTTATTATTCTCACTCGCATTTAATTCCCAAGCCGACCATCTTGCTTGCTGCTCCTCCCCCTGCATCTTTTCCTGTCCTATTCCACACCTGCAGCCTGAAATGGGAATAGTAAATGGCCTCTTGCCTCCCCAGAGTAAAAATAGCTGGGGAATATGATAGCTGAGTCCTTTTGTCCCCGCCGGACACATTTATGACACAGTTTTTAACATTGAAAACACGTCCTTTTAAAATCTCTTCGAGGCACAAGGACTCTCCAAGTCTCTAAATTTGCGCACATGTTGTCTTCATGTTCCACAAGTGATGTTGAAGACTAACAATGTGAGCATGCCATAATGTCCACAGTTAATGTCATAATGTCCTCTGACTCACATGAAGACCATCCTACAGATGGTCTTCTCTCATACAAACTGTGGCTCAGATGCCCATTGAAACTCCCTTGGCTGTTCCATCCCATCTTTTACCCTGTCTGGTCAGGCTTCTGGGATGGGAATTTAGTTTTACCTTTTTAATTCAATAAAAAAGGCACAAATAAAACTTCACTTCAGTACACTCACAAACATGACCGTCCTCCAAATTCCCAATGTGTCTGTGTGAGACAGAGACGAGGAGTGGGTTTGGTCCATCTGTCATATTGGAAGTCCTCGGAGAGATGCCAACACCGCAGCATGTGGAGTATGTCAGTGTGTGTTTGTGTGTGCACTCATGTGGGGCATAAGGACTGCAAGTCCAGCTTTTTAAAAGTTTTTCTGCACTATTAGAGCAGCTGCCTCTGTTGGACGGTCTGGAGTCTCTTCAGCGGACCAACATTGTATCTGTCACTCTGCACACCACCTTTTAAACATATACCACTGACAGGAGCAATGACAATATGTTCATCAAATTGTTCAGGAAACAAAAAACAGACCAAGGAATGAATGTTGGTTTGTATTTCATGGTCTCCCATCACCTTAAGAATTGGCGAACATTCAGGCCAAACTTGAACCTCCCTCCAGCCCAGCATCAACCATGGGGAGACAAGGGTGATGTTGACCATGTGTCCCCCCTCTAACCATCTCATTGATGGTCACAGCTATTGGATCAAATTGACACCCCCTCTGCGTGAACCAGTAAACCCCCTTAACCCTTTCCTAAACCTTGTTTTTGCCCCCCTGTTGTGCGTGCTCATTGGCTGACCGCCTTCAGGCGTCCCTTTTCCACGGGCCCATTGTGTGGCCCCATAAGCAGCTTTGTTTCTGCATGTGCAGCTGGGATAGCTCCCTCAGCCATTTGCCACAACACGCTAAAGGGAGAGCAGGATAATATGATTACAAAACAAAAGTCAGGTGGCTCACGAGATCTGCGAGGAGAAGCCCATTTGGAAAGATGTGAGGACACACTGGCGGGTGGCCAGCCATAATTTGATTATGAAGTTGTGTGAGCGACAAAAGAAACAATTGAATCTTTTTTCCTTTTATTTGCCACTCTGTGATTTAATTTAATTCCTTTGGGGCTTTAAAAAGAGGGCAGTGTGAAAAGAGAGAAGATTTACGCTTCTAATTTCTGGAGTCACCGGCTCAGAAAATGTAATATATTCTGACAAAATAGCAAGAGAAATTCTTTCTTGGACTAACTTTATTATCCTGCTGCTGAAACACATTGACTACTTGTGAGGCCCAAATCAAATGAAATGCTGAAGGCTGGAGTTTTCCTCCAAAATCATTGGTCTTGCGCTCATTTTTCTTCTCTCTTTTTTGTGTGAATGCACAGACTGGTGGACAATAGGATCAGTGGCATATCCATCTCCCGTAATACTTTTTTTAAACAGGACAGCAAGTGAGTCCCCCTGTTCTGTCGGCAGACCAGTATTTATCCTGTTAGTCACCCTAGATGAGTGAAAGAGTAAAATAAAACCCCCATCCCAGCTGGACACACACTCACACACAAGGATTCACCCATTCATACAGACACACATACACATGCACACACACACAGACACTTAACCCCTCACTGGGGAGTAACACGCGCACGCAGCTTTATGGACAGCTGATAAAAGCAGGTTTAGCTGGTGCTACTGTTTGGAGCAGGTCAAGCAGAATAAAGTCCATTCATGTCTTTTTGAATCTATTGCTCATACCACCAAATACTGCAGTTTGTTTTTTATGTTTTGTTTTGCGCTTATATAAGACAATAAGTATTTGTGCCAAATGCACACATGCCCCTAAGACTAAAAGGTTAGTGTCAGCATTGTGCCCACTCTGGGTTGTGTAAACGCCCATTTTTTGCCCCATTAGGCACGGCTTGATCGTGCCCCTGGAAGAGCACCACATTCTCAAGCTCCGCTCTAGAGGTTTTGACTGCTGATTAATCAGTGCGCTGGTTTGATGAGTCGCATTTCCAGCACATCAGATAGATAACATTAAACATGAAATAGGATTTCAACTTGCTCGGGATTGCTTTATTACAGTATGCAGGGAATGAAGCTATACAGGTGTGATATATTCACGTCATCTCAAAATATAGATTTTTTTAACTTGAAGGTAAAGAGTCAAGATTAGGAACACCCATTGTGTAGATGACATCTGTTTGGAATATTTTTATATTTGATAAAAAGAAACTGTGCAGCTATCTCAAAAGAGTTTTTAAATTCAAACAGTTGGCCCTGTAACTATCTCATTCTTCAACAAATATTCAGTTCTAGGGAGATGAAGGAAAGGCAGAGCCGATAAACTTCTTTCCATCACCATAAGAAGAATTATTCCAGGTGTAGGTTTGGATGATGAGCGTCTTCCCTCCAAGGCTCAGATGACACCTTAGGATGACAGGCATTAAAAAGGCAAAACTCAGAAGACTAAGTCAGAACAGATGCAATTACAAAAAACATCCCTGATTGCAAAAGCTCAGCTGTCTGGATATCAGAAGTTAAGCAAAGAAATTGCGACGAAGTGTCCTAAACGCAACTCACTCAAAGTTCTGTTATTTTTTTGTATTACTATTATTAATTTACCCTATCAAAACAGAGATATAGAAATGTTATGACACTCACAGCTCAAAACATCTTCTAATTCTATAAAACACATCCATTGTACATTTTGCTTGCAATTTAGTTGTATGAACTGGCTGGGGCTGGTGTGTTTTTTTTTCTTTCAGTTTGGTACCTGTCTTTGACATTTCAGGATGTGTATTTACTCACCGTTTCCCAGGCCGAGTTATGTAGCAGAGGCTGTAGAGGGCAAAATCAAACTCAGGGCTGCAACCAATGATAGCAGAGCCAACTTGCTTGAAGTAACCGTCCCAGTTGAACTGCATTCCTATGACGTCAGGGTAAGCAGTCCACTGATAGCAAAAGAAAGAGCAAAATAAGAAAACAAAGGAAGGACAACAAATAACAAAAGAAGGTTCAACACATTGGGGTTTAACGTAGATACTTACAGGCCCGTTGAAGCTGTGGCTGTAGTAGTTCATCTCTCCTCTTTTTTCAAGAAGATAAAACTGGATCCAGTTGTGGAAGCCAGACACTTTTCCTCCTTTAATCTCACCTATTACAGAATTTACAGTTATGTGCAGGGGACACAAATGCTTTCAAATGAAAAAGGTAGCTTAGAGTAAAGAAATTATTTTACTGAGTCAAAGCAACACCATCAATGTTTTCTTTTTCAGCCATTCTGCACCGGCTTTTTGCTGAGTTGCATGACCCATCACATTCGAATTGAACATATTTTTAGACACAGTTAATAGTAGATTCAGTAACTATGAGGTGCCTTGGTGTTATTGCTGAAAGGTCAGCCAAATCTTCACCCTTGTTAATCACAAATAAAACCCATTTGTAAACACTTTAAAGAAGTCTGTCCAAACCTGCAAAGATGTGTTCAAAGCCGCTGGAGTCCATCTTGTTGTCGTTGCGGGAGTAAAGACCAAACCACATCATCTTTAGGTCCTCAATAAACTCTTCCTCAGATGCATAAACCCCTAAGAGACAAAAAACAATATCCATAGAAAATTAAACTGAGAGTTGTGAGGACAAAAGACAGTTTGTGTGAAGATGGACTATTACTCCTGGACCTTTTACCTTTGGTGTAGAGGAAGGCAAACAGCTCTCTGCCCAGCTCAGTGTTGGATATAGTTTCCCGGAGGAATGTGTCCTGCTCAGCCAGCTGCTGAGGGCTGAAGTTCTCTGTCTGTCCTGTCATCCTGTTATAGTTGTCCAGCACAGCGAGCAGAGCAGCAAAGGTGGGTCTGGAAAACAGACTGCCTTCATCCAGGTAGCGGAACAAGCTGTGGAAACAGACAGTTGTGCGGTAATCAAACCCATGGAGAAGGATAGAAAAAAACTGGAATCAGTACAAATCTCCTCACGGCTTTGCTGAGAGATCATTCTGGTGGCTGGTCTCAGAGTCTGGCACCAGAGCCTGAGGGTCAATGATCAACTCAGAGGCTGAAGCTTTGTTTGAGTCCAGAGCATAAAGCGTCTCAGAGAGAGCCTTGATCTCAGCATCAGTGATCCCAGTACCGCCATCTCCTCCGGAGCCTGGAAGACAACACACATAAGGCCTTACACATGATATATATATGTATATATTTATATATGACTTAAGTTTGGGAGTCTGAGGCCTAACAGTGTGTGAGGACTTCTGCTAAGCAAACTGTTTTTTTTTATTTATTTATGTAGTAAAAACAGTGACACCTGCTGGTCACAAATAGTTTCTTTGGACCATCAGTCATGCTGATCGTTTTTCAAGAAATATGAAGAAATGGTATTAGTGTCAAGATCAGCATAACAGGAAAAACTTTATCAAGAAAAACATAAGCTCAAGAAAATATTTATCGAGGTCCCTTTATTTATACGAAACCCAACCCTACTATGTAACTGTAAAGTTCCCATAAAGTACCCTCTCACAAACATTAGACTGCAAAGATGTAATAATATACCATGTAATCTAAATTATGCTGCCTCAAACAGGGAACATGTTGTTTGCCTTACTAGAACAGAGGTCTGCATAGTCGCTGCAGCAGTTGTTGTACTGGGAGCACTTGGAGTTACAGTGGCACTTGTTCTGGGAGTTGTACGCCTCGCCACATCTGCCTTTACAGGATGTTTCTGCGGCTGGAATTAGAGGAAGACTGCATGCTGATATTTACATTCACACGGTAGTCTAAACTTATGGGCCATATGTTCTGGAATAAGAAAGGTCTGCATTTTTACTTTTTTTAGTAATGTATTTTTAAAGGCAATACTCTTTTTTACTTTTGAAGTTGTTTTCAGATCAAGTTATTTTTGCTTTGGTTCAAGATCTCGATGTGTTCTTCTTTCACTATGAATCTGTCTTTCCCCTACGTTTCATGAATTCCAACATTGCACTTTTGCAAGTTAATTGTTGACGGGATTAAAAGAATTAAAAGAAAATCTTCTGTATTATCAGAGAACCCATAGTAACATTTAACATAGGTCATATCCAATTGTTGAATTTGAAGGAGATATTCTGCAAATTACAGGGTAAGAAAAATTGAAGTACAGTTCAAAAGTGCATGCTGTTTTAAGGGCTGAGTCATGGATTGGTTTATTACCATGTGAATGCACCTGCTGTCATTAAAACAGTAGAACATTAAAAAGGGCATGAATGAAAAACTCTGGAGAGACAGTGTAAGGTAAGAGTAGCAACAGGCGTCATGATGTTAGTCTTACTGGAACAGAGGTCTGCATAGTCGCTGCAGCAGTTGTTGTACTGGGAGCACTTGGAGTTACAGTGGCATTTGTCCTGGGAGTTGTATGCCTCGTCACATCTGCCTTTACAGGATGTTTCTGCGGCTGGAATTAGAAGAACATTGTATACTGGCATTTCTATTTACAACAATGATCTAAACACAAATCTGACTTGTTTTTGTCACTTACCTTTACATTGTTCAACGTAGTCTGAACAGCAGTCATTGTAGCGCTCACATGCACTGTTGCACTGGCAGGAGTAACTGCTGTCTGTTCCATAACCACACCGACCCTGACATGAGTCTAAGCTGTCTGGAAACCAGCAAGACAGATTGACATCTTAGTGATGCAGCAATATGTGAATATCCTTGCTCTACCTGTATCAAAGAGTCATAAGAAAGTTATTTTATGTTGACAAATGGGCAGAAAAATATCTTACTGCTGTATCCCTGGCAGATCAGGGTCACACAAAGAAGAATTAAAGCTGTAACCTTCATCTTGGATGAGCTGCAACCTGAAACAAGGTAAGCTGACTGTTATGGCTTCCCTTTTATAGAGCTTTCACTTGACCAATCAAAACGCCAACACGAGCCCAACCCAGTCACTTAATCACAATTCCATTTTTCTGCATAGAATATTCTGAAAATGCCTGTAATAAGGCTTTTACAAATCTTGAAAATGTCCCACTGAAAATGTATTCATCGATTGGGGGAGTATATATATTTGGGATGTTGTAACATAAGTTGGCACTTCCAAATGAAACAGGAGGAACATTTACCAGTTTCAGTCTATAAAATTATCCTCCAGTCTAGGTGCTTTGTCATGTCAAAATATGACCATATCAGGTTATTTTCTGAGATTTGAGAGAAATGTGGATTTAAGCATTTCATATCTACTTGCAGCTGTTATACTACATCTGTCAGGAGCCTTTGCTTAATTCTCTCACCACAATGTCCAGATGTAATATTTCCCAGGGCCTATGCAAAAGGACAGAAAACCCAAAATAACTTGTGTTTTGTTTGCGTCCAATCATGCACAGTACACGTGCTCCTGGGGAACTACAAACATCAAAAAGCAAACATGTGGAGATTGCTCAACAGCAAATACATGATTCCCATAAAGGGTTTTACAAGTGTGCAACAAGGCTTTGTTGATATAAAGAATTATTTCAGATGACAATGATAAAAAATATATTTACAGTGGGCACATAAGTTGTATTGTGTCTTGAGATTTGTTTTCTTTTTTCTAAGACAAAAATAAAAATGCAATATTTTCCATCCAAAATTATGTTTCAAGTTTTAGGTTGATATATCATGGAACATGCTGCACCCTGCCTTTCACCCAATGACAGCTGCTATATTCCCCATCCAGGATTGAATTAATTTGTCTCTCTGTTTTTTTTTTAACTATTGTAAATTATTGAACATTTGAACGCAGCCGTCCTCCGGCTCAGTAGAGGGCGCTAAAGAGAAAGCCTTTGCTTTACGTAAACCTTTTAGTCCCTTTGCGGGTTCCTTCCTTTTTCAGCGTGGACTTCAATGACATTCTGATCTTTCATAAGACAGCGGTGTTTCCCACTTGTAAAGATGTCTTTACCCTTTTTATTCAGAGTCATTACAAGGGATATTTTAAAGGTGAGTAGACTGAGCTTTTAATGTGATATTTTAATTAAAGCTCACGCTGAATTGCGCTGGTTTTGTATGTAAACTGTTAGCTTCTTCAGTTTGTGATTCACCATTCAAAACTCTCTGACCACTATAAAGGTGTTTTGCTGTCACGATTTAAACCCCCTGTTACGTCCACATGCCTTGGTATATATCCGAATGGCTTTTTATTTTAAAGTTATGTATGTTTTGACAAACTTTTGTTCTACAGTGTTCTGAATACAGAGCTGTTTTTCTGCATTTGAACTTCATGTTAGTTTCTTCTCATCCTCAGAGCAACATCTGCCAGCATGTGCAGCCGCTGCACACAGGATGCCAGCTCCTGGCAGCAGACAAAGCCCTCCTGATGAAACTGCGGAAAAGCACTGGCTACACTTTTATTAACTGCAAGAAAGCTTTGGAGAAGTTTGACAATGACATAACACAGGTAGCCAACCTTTCCCTGTACCTGTGTGGCACTGTTTAACAAGATAACCTGGTGAAACGTGGTGGTTTTCAAAAGAAAAAGCGGTGACTGTATTCCCAACATTCAGGCGGAAACCTGGCTACATGAACAGGCTCAGAAGGAGGGCTGGAGCAAAGCTAACAAGCTGGAAGGTCGAAAAGCCAAAGAGGGTCTGATTGGTCTGTTTGTAGGGGATGAAGCCGCTGTGATGGTGGAGGTGAGAATACCGGTCCAGGGAACAGACTTTTGGCGCGTTTTTTTATCGATGTGTCTATTTTAGTGTATTCTCTGACTTTACTCATGTCTGTTGCAGGTGAACTGTGAGACAGACTTTGTTGCCCGCAATGAGAAGTTCCAGCAGCTGGTTAAGGATGTGACATTTGCCACTTTGGCTCACCATCGAAATAAAATGCAAAGCAAGACAGGATATGTGAAGGTAGAGCTATAACCACAGACGACAGGCTGTAGAAGCTGCCAAAATTGTATTTAACTTTTGTTGTTATCAGATTTAAATTGATGCTTGCAAGTGGTAGTCTGGTGATATTTTCTATCTAAATATTCATATCTGTGCCCAGTTTCCAGCACAGTTCAAACGGGTTTAGCACATGAAATTGGACTATTAATGCTTCCCTTAGTTATTTTTCCTCTACAGTTGTTAAATGTTGCAATATTGACCAATGTTTTAGATATTTAGGTAAGTCTTAGTCTACACAAAAAAAAATCAGATGAACCACATCTGCAGCACAGAAATGCAATAATAAAAAAAATTCAGACTGGGCAGCTCCAGCTGCTGCCGTTCAGCAGCCACAGTAGTTCAGTACAAAAAAGTACAAAAGTCATTGCTGACAGAAAAGAGCTTTCAGTTGTTCACAGGTCTGTGGCCCCACGACCATGCCAGTTTCTTTTGCTCTATCTTATCACTTCTGACATCTAACATTCTTTCCTCCCCAGAGTGTCCTCGCAGGTGATGAGTTAAGCAAACTCAGAATGGCTGAAGGAGCTTCACTGGCTGATCAGGTGGCTCTCACAATAGGTCAGCTGGAAAAGTTTTTATTCTTTTCTTTTTTCCACTCAAGCACACAAAAGGAAATAACTAAAACATAATTGATCAAGTTAGCCTTTAAAACAACTCACAGATTTTTTTGCATTTAACACGCGCTGTATGCAACCTAAATGATTATCTTTGTGGTAAAATTATGTTTAGACTATTTATTAAGGGGTTAGAAACTCAAATGAGAGAAACACAGAACTACAGTGAATATCTAAGTTTGACTAAAACATTTTCTGACAAAATTTGACATGTTCCATTGAATCTGTTCAATCAATGCTGACTTGTTTAGAACTCACCAGAAAGACCAACGCAGTGAAACATGATGGATTCAGCTTAATGACTCCTCTTCTTTCAGTTTCTCTCCAAAGCAGCTTTTGGCAGTTGGGTTGTGTTTTAAGACTGAAACTGTCTTTCAGACGCTAATTAATTAGTCGTCTTGGTGGAGTCCTGAGTTTTTCCACCTTGAAAACTTGTCAAACGGGTGTGCTCTTGTGTAGCTGGGAAGTGAGGACAGATAGAAATAAGACTTAAGCTTCACTTCTGCAATAACCAGATGTGCTGCTTTTTTTATCACACAACAAAAGAAAAAAGGAAAACGAAAATGAGCCCGTGAGTGAGAAGGAGCCACTATTACTAGTTACTGTTCAATATGAATACTGGCTGCCTAAGAAAATTAATCGGGTTTACTGTTGTGGACTGAACAGATTTCCCTTTTTTTTTTTTCCTCTTTCTTTTGCAGGCCGCCTGGGTGAGAACATGTCAGTGAAGCGGGCAGTGACTGTGGGGGTTCCTTCCGAGTGGCACATCGGCTCGTATGTGCATGGCGCTGTCAGTGGGCAGTCTGATGTGACCATGGGCCGTTATGGGGCTCTGGTCATTTTTCAGGGAGGAAAGGAGGAGGAACGGAGCACCTTGGGTCGTAAATTGGGACAGCATATAGTTGGAGAGGCCCCGCTGTCCCTGGGCAACATGGATGACCTGCCCTGTGGTGAAAGTGAGACGCGCTTGTTGCCCCAAACCTTCCTGGTAGACCCCAGCAGGACTGTGGCACAGTTCCTCAGGGGTAAAGAGGCCCGTGTTCTGGACTTTGTCCGATTTCACTGTGGTGAGACACTTAGTGAAGAGAGAGAATAAGGAAGGTCTCATAGCATTTCTCAAGAGTGTTTTATTACATATGTGGAAGATTACAAGCAGTCATTAATGGCCAAACATTCAGGAAATGGAAATTTGGAATATTCATGAATTTAAAAGCTAAAATGGTATGTTTGATTGTCTGATGAAACTGCTGATCCAACAATAAAGTATATTACATTGATTAAATCAGTCTGTGTCTTTAAATGTTGGTGTACAGTTCTATTTTTGATCTTACCATAGTGTTGTTTAAGTCATGTTTTTTTAAACTTATTTTTGATTTCCAAGATTTTGCAGTTTAGCTATATTCATTGGCAGTCTATAGAAGTTGGTATTCTTCACGCTTTTAGTGCTTTCGTTGAGATCCCCTGTGCCAGAAGTGAAATACATGGCGTTCTATTAGTCAGAACTACTTGCTTATTACTTACCAGTTATTGTAAGGTAATAAATAGTCAGTTGAAAAAAATAGTTATTTTTTAAATATCACTTATTTGTAGTAGTATCTACAAATACTGAACTCATTAATTACTTCTATGAAGGGTGTGGCGTCGTGTTTAGGGCCCGGAAGCTGTGACTGCTGCACCCCTGCAAATATGCCAGAAATGCTGCTGTGGCATCCAGGCCTGTGATTGGTTTCTCCGGGGGTGACGTAATCAGGGACGTATTTACGGAGCAGGCAATTCGGTCTGCATTCAGTTCATCCGAGACTCAGAGCCCCGGCGTCTGTCGTCTAAACATTAAAAGCAAATATGGTAAGTCAAGCTATGTCTAAAAAGTTTTCTGCTTTCGTAAGACTCGCAGTAAGGACACAATTATTTTCAAATGGGGGATTTTAACTCGATTTTTGCCAAGCTAACCCTGGCGCCTATTACTCATTCAGGGTTTAAGGTTTAGCTTCTCTCGACTGTAACTATTGATGCCATGTTAAGAGAAAGCTGCATATCGCACTAATGTCATCATCATGTCTCTCTGCTTTGCCATCAAACCAGTCTGACTTCACAGAAGACCAGATCATGGGTGAGTAAACGCAGATATTTATTTTTTGAAAAGTAATTTAATTGTTAAATCTATTGACAGCCACGAATCCTTATTTGTGGTGTACCTAGCATATATTTTTAAAATAGCTTTATGGATTCTGATCCTGTAGCTCCAAAATGACCTCTGAAAACCACTGGATTGCGCCAGGTGAATCAATATAGGCTAACCAAAGATTAACTGTGTGAGATTGTGAGTCTGTGTGCTGTTTGAAGACTCTCAAAGACAACTATATTTAATTGATTTGATCAGGCATGTCAACGAATGCTGTACTAACCCAGAATAACAGCTTTTCAAAGCACTGTGGTGTTTTTGCATGCCACTAGAAAAAGGGAAATGACAGCTATTTCATTATTATTTTTCTGTGAAATTGCTACAGTCTTTAACATCATTACTGTTAAGCCATGCCTTGTGTTTTTATGAAGGGGCTGACCCAGACAAATAGCACACATACTCTTTCAGGACAGTATTTGACCATTCATTTGTTCTCTCCTCCTTTGTTTTTATAGCTGCCATAATGACCAGACTACTTAAAGTCATATAAGGTCATCTGTGCACTAGTGCAGAGCTGATTTGCTTTCGAGCTCTGATATAGTCATCATGACACGATACCTGCCTATCTGGCTGAGTCACAAACTGTACCTGCTGTGCAAATGCCTTAACTGGATGTGTTAAAACCTTTAGGCAAATTATAAATGGAACGAATTTGTTTGACGAATTGGTTATCACTTGGTTCAGAGATCTTTGCTGTGGTGCGTTTGTACACTTGTGTCTGGAAATCAACCCACAATAACAAATTGTCTATCGAACAACGTACTGTGTAGCTGATAAACCTTTCTCTCCCTGTCAGAATTTAAAGAGGCCTTCCTTTTGTTTGACCGGACGGGTGAGGGGAAGATCACCTACAGCCAGTGTGGAGATGTGATGCGAGCCCTGGGACAGAACCCTGTCAATGCTGAGGTGCTCAAAGTTCTGGGCAACCCCAAGTTAGAAGGCAAGCCTGTGAATTACAAGCCACAAATAAAACAGACGAACTGTTAGCTCTGCCAAATGTTGATAGTATAGAGACGCAGCCACAAAAAGTTGCTAGTTGTAGTTTATTACATCATGCATCACGTTTATTACATTCATATATGACTGTATTACCTATCACCGTTTAATGAGCCTGGAAAGGCTCTGATACACTGGAAACTGCAGCTGATCCAATAATCATAAGTAAGGTTTCCAACCACTTTTGGCTAAAAGCATCTTGAAAGCCACACAAATGCATTTCAATACTGTTTGATAAGAGCTTAACTCTCATTTACCCCCCGCAGAGATGAACCACAAGATGCTGGACTTTGAGCAGTTTCTGCCCATGCTGCAGGCCATTGCTAAAAACAAAGACCAGGGCTCCTTTGAAGACATTGTTGAAGGTCTGCGTGTGTTTGACAAGGAGGGGAATGGCACAGTGATGGGAGCAGAGTTGCGCCATGTCCTCACCACTTTAGGTGAGGCCTAAAATACCATCACTTTGTAATTAGCATGTAATTACTGTCTGTGTTCTTGCCATCGTACCCCTCAGGCAGTCGTCTGTCCTAACAGAAAACTGTGTCTCAGAATACTTTACCATGTGTCTTAAGGTGAAAAAATGACAGAGGAAGAAGTTGAGACTCTCTTGGCGGGACATGAAGATGCCAATGGCTGCATAAACTATGAAGGTGAATCACTAAATAGAAAAAGGATATTCAAAGTCACATTGTGTCATGTGCACAACTATTTCTTTTAACCAGCCTTTGAGAAGAGATCTTTTGTCCCCACTGATGGATAGCACACCCAATTTTGTTTGCAGACGTACTAATGTTGGCTTTCTTTGTCTCTCCTCGCAGAGCTTGTCCAAATGGTGATGAGCGGTTGAGGGTTTCAGACACACTTCCAGCTTTAGTTTTTTCCTTCATATTATTTTGTATTGTTGATCATATCTTGCCCCTCCATCCATGTCATCCTACCTCCAACAAGTCTGTTCTGTTACTGTAAACCTTTTTTTTGTGCCTTTGTTTAATGTGAAGAGCTTCTTTCATCTCATTTTCCAAGCATAATTCATCCTTGCAGGCACAATCAATAATGCTCCCCTAATGGGGTTTCTGTCAGCTTCCCAAGTCTTGTTGTCTTTTGTTTTGGATGGAAATGATAATGTGACATGCTACATTACTAAAAAAAATGTATTGAGTAAAAGTGCTAATTTACACATTTGGTTTGAATTATTTTTATAGTCGTTTCATACCTCGCAACACAATATGTTTTCAGGCCACGGGCACATAAAAAAACAAAACAGAACAGTATAGTATTAATAAACTGACAGAAATGATCAAATGATACATTTTGAACCATTAAAAGATATGTTCACATTAGCTAACTGATCACATGAATATCGAAGATAAAGCGAGTAATTGAGAGCCGTGTAACCCCACAGGAAATTTACATAAAAATGGCGGGATACACCAAGCATTTAAAGATGGACAACTTATTAAGTAAGACAGGCTGTTTCATGCTTTTATGTGTGTATGTAAACATATCCCAGAGGGGTAAAGTCAGAGCAATGGAACATCTTCCAAACTCTTTTGCTGACCTGATTTGTCTGCCAACGGACACGGGACAGATCCAAACACACGTGGCTGCTCCTCCTGAGCATTATAGGAGTCGGCTGGTTCAGCTCTTAAAGAGTTCAACCAGCAGTGCAAGCTGGAGCTTCAGTGAGAAGGTCCAGCAGGTCTGAGACTGCAGGAGCGCCAGTTATGAACAAAACTGTCTCAGAACCAGAACGTATCACATAAACGTCTTATGCTTCTTTGAGAGGCAAGTTTTCATACTGAAACTTTACTTGCTGATGTCATGTTTCACACAAAAAACGTCCTACTTTTTGGACTTCAGCAGCAGCCACATCGTGTCAACATGCCTGGATTAAAAGTGAATACCTACCGATTCCTCGTTTGATGTCACAAACCCTGTGCTGCTGGCTGACAAACCACTTAGCAGATCGGCTCTTCACATCTTTATTTTTCCTCAAACATTTCGTAATTAAAACCTGTTTTTTGACATTTTTAATAGAAAGTGTCAGCACTAATTTGATGATGTACAGAGGAAAAACAGATTTCTACCATATAATAACGTAACTGCAGCTACCTTCAGCAAAGTGGAAAACGTACAGAAACCAAACAGACACATTTCATATCACAAAATCCACACAATGTAGTAATAACACAGATAAAAGAAGTCCATTTATGCTCACAACTGTGGTGAGGACTGCAATACTGGCTTGACAGACACTGACTTCAAAGTTTCACCATCCGACTGGATTATATTTCATGATGCTGACGTGACGTGCCGAGTGCTGAAAGAAGCATGTTTTACAAAATTCTTCATACATGGTGAACACACCACTGATGGCACTTTGAAATAAAAAAACTGAGCGGTAATAAGGTTGAGAGATCTCAATGGCATGCGTTCACGTACACACATGATCACAGTCACAACTCAGACAGATCCGGCAGAACTGTCCAGAACAGACACAGCAATGGAGAGGGTAAATACAGAATACAAAGGTAATAGTATACAGTTACAATGTTGACAATACAAAGAAAAAAAAGGATGTAAAAAATATAAAAATGGAGAGGATAAAAAGTGAGGACATTGTTGCAAATATTAAAGACACAATTCTCCATTGTAAGCTGTTTTAAGGTGCTCCCTTCTTTGTTTTCTTTTTTTTTTAAACAGCTTTAGCATATTTTCCATCTTTAATGTAAAATGCACCAGCAAAAAAAGAAAGAAAAAAAAAAGCTGCTAAAAATTGTATTTGCTTTCCAAGCAATGATAGTAAAACTCACAGAATAAATGTGAGATAAACATGATTATAAAAACTGTTTGGTTAAGCAGGTAACACAGCATCCAATTGTGAGCAGAATTTGTGGCTGACAGGATTACAGCATTATTACAAGATGTTCTCCATCAGCCACTCGGGTCGAATCCGACTACATTCGTCGCTAAACTACAGCCTGGATGATAAGAGCTCATCCACACCGGGAATATTTAGACTGTAAGTGCTGCAGAAAAGCGCTGGAAACCAACTTCATAAGATAATCGAGGAGAGGTCTTTTCAGGACCTCAAGCTGTCAGTACTTTCAAATATTTCCCATAGTTTCACAGCAGGGTAACAAAACTGTGTTCGTAACAGCCAAACCATTTACAGTACACTTCCTGTTACTCCATCCAAGTTAAGTTCATGTAATTTCAAAGTGGCAACTTTGATTAAAACATTTTCCTTCATTACAGACTTTCTAATCAGTCCCGATCCTGTGGAGTGACCACTTGTCCATGTAACGCAAACAAAAGGACAGCATAAACTAACATTTCTGATTAAACATTAAAAAAAATTCTGTAAGAAAAAGTATTTTAAAAAAAAAAGAACAAATAAAAAAACAAACATATAAGTGCTAAGGTTCAAATTGATGGATGCTTCAAGTCTTTCAATTAGACCTTGGGAAACATATTCAAAGTGCTTTTTTTTTTTTCATTCATGTATCTCATTACGTACCTACAGTACATGGAGGGGGAATATGGACAGATTATGAAGTGTGAAACTTCAACAGCTGGGATCATTGTTGCAGGGAAATAAATGCAACAATTTCCAAAACACTGAGAACATGAGATGAGTCTTTTCTCTTCGTCTCTATGAGTGCTGGCATGTTGGTCAGAGCATCTCCGTTTACCAAATCTCCAGTATCAGCATTATAATGTGACTTGAGATGTTGCTGTCCAGTCATCCACACAGGGTGACAATCCATCCTCTTCAAGAGGTGATTCAGTCTGAAAAAGACTTGTTTTTGAGCAGTCAAGAAAGGTGGACTGATTAATGTTCATTTTTGTAACACATCAATTGTCTTCTTGGACACAAACAAATAAAAAGTAAAGTAAAAAAAATAAAAAAATGTAACATGTGTTTCTTCAGTTGATGATTTCTTCATTTCAGATGATCCAGGCAGGGTTTGAAGTGGTCAGTCATTTGGATTCTCGGGCTATTCTAATTTTTTGTTCTCACTGCGGTGGGGGGACGGGAGCTGAAGGGTGGAGTGTCTCCCCGGCCAGAGGAGCGCTGGGCTCTGAAAAAGGGGGAAAAATATTGAAAATACCAACAATTTAGAGACACCTGCTTTTACAGAGCTTACCTCTGTGTTACTGGCTTAAGCCGGTTCATATTAGTGAAACCAAAAAGTACCTTGGAAGGAAACTTGGTTTGCGCTGCATGGGCTGCGGGGCTGGGCCTTGTTGCCTAACTCACCGTGGAGTCCGGGGGTAGTGCTGGAGCTGGAGTGCGAGGGCAGGGCCTGGCCCGGTGGGCAGGGGGGCGAGGTGTGAGCACTGGAAGGGGGCTGGGACTCAGGGGCTGGGGCTGCGGAGGCTGGTGCCGCGGGGCTGGGGGCAGCCTGTGGTGCTGGTGTGCTTGTAGCTTGCTGAGCTGCGGCGGGGCCTTGCGGGGGGGGCCCTGAGGTGGCCTGGTTGGAGTGGGGGCCCCCGGCCTGGCTGTGCTGCTGGTGCTGGATCTGCTGGAAGTGCTGCTGGCGGGCCCTCATCTCAGCGTACTTCAGCTGCTCCATGTGGAAGGACTGGCGGTCAGCCAGCAGCTGCTGCCGCTGGTACTCCAGCTGCAAACCGACACACGCGTGAGACCGTTTGGGGACATTTATGGAATGAAACATCCCAGGCGTCCTGACTCACAGCCTCCCGCTCTCTGTCCATGATGGTTTCCAGTTCTTCAAAGTGTCGCAGCTTGATCTCGAGCTTCTTCATTTGGGTTTCCACGAGCAGAGCCACCAAAGATTTGATCTTCCTCTCTTCTACTGCTGCCAAGTGCTGTGAATGAGAATCTGATATTATAGAAACAATCAAAACAAAATGGTAAAGGAAAGACATAGCAAAGACATCATGGACTTTACCTTGGCTTTGACAGCAGCGGCTGCTAAGGCGGAGGCAGCAGCAGTTGCCAGGTTACCCTCTCCCATATCACGTTCTACCTTAGCCTTCCTTTCTCCTTCACTCTCTCCTTCTCTTTGTCCCTCCTCCGTTCCCTCTTTTCCATCCTTCTCCTTCTCCCCATCACCTGAAAGAGAAAGCATCCTTTCTTCTAACTATTAACCATAGCTTAATGTATCTGACATCTATTAACTCATTCGCTGCCAAAGACGTCTATAGACGTCTTTTCAAATCCGACCGTTCGCTGCCAAAGACGTCTATAGACGTCTTTTATGTTTTTCAATTGCGAGTGACTTGGGGGACGATCGGCGAAAGTTTTTCCGTAAATATCGGCTTCTAGACAGAGTATGGACTAACAAATTTACCCTCTAGGTAGCTGTGCCACTTTTGATGGGAGATTAGCATAGATTGTAAGCAAATAAAAACAAACGCAATGGTTCGCTATGAGAGAAATGGCGCCGGTGAGACGCACGTCGAAGAAGAACGGAATAAGGTAGAAACAAAAATTTTTTTCCTGATGATAGAAGAGAGTCTCCTCTTTCTTTTGGTGTGTTTGGTGTTTACATAGTCAAAGCACAAACTATTCTGTGGCTCTTGAAAAATCTGTCAAAATTCTCAAAAAACTCTGGCAGTGAGCGACTCTCTGTTCTGAAAATGGCTGGCAGTCAATGAGTTAAACAAACCGTTTCATACCCATCTCCGACTCTGTTTTGTCTGCCTCTCCCTCTGCCCCAGCTTCTCTTCCTCTTTCCTCCTCCTTCTTTCCATTCTCTGCCTGCTTCTCCTCTTCCTCCATCGCGCCATCTTTGCTGTCCTGAGTGGCAAACAAACCAAAGCACTATGAGATCCAAATCATCAGAAGAATTGACAACTACTAAACAAATATTTTGCTGTGAACGCTGATCAGACCTTAGCATCTTTCTTCTCCTCACTCGATTGGCTGTCACTCTTACTTTCATCACTGCTCTCATCTAAAAAAGAAAAAGTTGGAGTTATTTACTGTACAGGTTTTATCAAGAGTAACTATCACTTTTCTTCTTGGTTCTATATGAGAACATCTTCATTATACCAGGCCTGTCTCCCTCCTCCAGGCCAGTGCCAGCGATCCCGCTTCCCTCCAGACCGTACAGAGGATCCTGTCGGCCGCTGACCCTCGCTGCCTCCTCCACCCGCCGCACATGAGCCTCAACAAGTGCTGCAGGAACCTCCTCCTTCATACGCGAAAATTCCTCTGAGAAAGTGAGACAAATCATGATTGTCAACGATCTTTCAAGTAAATGACAAAACAAAGTCATGTTGTATTTCTTAAGCTCACCACCTTAATAATAACTCCTGTTCCCAGAGCCTAATTAAGATACACCCTGTCTTAGAAACAAGGCAAGTGCTACGTCTCTGAATAAGAGCAACTCTTCGATTTAAACAGCAGAACCTTTTTATGGTGCATCTGAATTACAAAAATATTTTAAAGAAAGCTTTTTCTCACCGAGGGCGGATTTGGCCGCAGCTGAGGCCACACGAGGGTCCACTACAGAAGCAAGGAAGGCCACAGTGCTCATGACCGGGTTTCCTGCTTGGCTGAAAGGTACTGGTTGGTAGGCCAGTGGGCCCAATGAAGATGAGCCATCCTCCAAATATGGGTCCTCAATGGGCAACCGGAGGAAGTGCAGGATGCACTCATCCTGCGTACGACTGCCCACGTGTTCAGACACCTTGTTCCAGTCATCTTTGTACATCTCCAGTCCCTGGTGGCAGATAACAGATTTAGTTTGAAATTACCTTATTGACATTTACATTGCAATTTTGACAATTATCATTGTGAAGTTAATCTGGCATACTTTTTTTAAGTTACGAAGAGAAAATAAAAACCTCAAGTAATAGTAGTGTTTCTTGCTCCGTCCAGTCCCTCATAGAGCTTGCTCCACTCTTACTCTGCACACAAACAAATCACCAAAGTCTCAATAAAAGTCACGTATAATAAAGCGAGTCATACCTTGATGGCAGCACTTGTACTTTTTACCTTTGCAGATGCAGTCTTTTTGCTGTACATGTCAGTCCGCAGCCCAAAGTTCTGAAGATCTGCCGGTTTTTCCTTCACTTTATCTGGGAATGACATCATCGGCTGGGTGGCAGGAGTCTGCAGAGCAACAGCAACAGAGAAGCAAATGTATTTAAAAATAAGCCCAAATAAAAAAGCATCCACCTGTGTGTTTCTGACAGAGGGTGTACTGACCTGGGACGTCTTGGGCTGCAGGGGCACCAGACTGGAGGGGGTGTCTGCCAGGACGTGGAAGTGAGAGGTAGGCGGGGGACCCATGGGTGTGGGCCGACTCTCAGAGTCCACCTGATAGTTGATCAGTCCCCACTGCTCCAGAAAAGCGTGAACTCTGCAAAGGGGATAAACAAAGAGCGTTCGCGGCTGACAGCATATCTGCTCGCAGAGGTGAAGGGGTGCGAAGCTCCGTCCCACACCTACCTCATGATGGCACACACGTCTCCTGCCAGGTTTCTGCGGCAGGCGGTGGAGGTCAGATACTCCTGAGGGTTCAGTCGGTAGGTGTCGATCATAAAGTTTCTGTAAGCCAGATAGCTGAAAGAAAAAAGGAGAGCAGGCAACTGAGACGTCACAGCTGCGACAAAATTGTATTTGGAATATAATAAATTACAATCTAATATTGTGTCATGCAGTCATCAAATACTTACATCTCAGGGGTTTTTGATTTGTTCTTCCCATTGAAAAACTCAGGCAGGGCTCTACGCTCAATGGCATGAACACTGAAGGAAAAAGACAATAAGAGGACTGATTTACACAGTTCCGGCGTACTATGGACTTTTTAATAAAGAGGCTCAGTGGGGAATGTTACTCAAAGTAAGCTCTTACCTGTTGTAGTCGAACCAGGCGGCGTAGCTGGGAATGATGATGTGGTGGGTTTGCTCGGTCACGTTGTCCTCATGAAGGTCGGAGCTCTTCACGGGTTCACCCTTCACACTCGGGGAGCCTTCCTCCTCCTCCTTGTTTAAACAAGCAAGCAAGCAAATATTTGAACATGAATTGATATGCCACTTTGTACCTGTCAAGAGAGTGATACCTTTCCAGTTGTTTCCATGGACTCGTCCTCTTGTTCATCTGTATACATCACACATAACACCGGTAAGTGAGAAGACACTGAAATGGCTCGGTTCAGCTTTATGTTTATAAGACTAACACACGTTTCACTCGCTCACCTATATCCGTCCCTCCTTTGATTGGAGTCGAATCAGAGTCCTTCTTGGTGTTATCTGTAGAGAAACAAAAAAAGGTTTCCTGTGTAAAACAGAGGGGGTGCACGGATACAATTTCTATATCTTACCTCGACTTAGCTTTATTGGGGTCTTCCTGATTATGCAGTTTTAGAATAAGAAATACTAAGGTGCTAGATTTACAAGATTTTTGTTTTGCTTATTTATTTGACATATTTTTCAAACTTTAAGTAGACTTATATACTTGTCTTTGCGTTGCTTCCCTCTTCAGACGCTGGAACGGGTGACGCTTCATCCAGGTCCTTGGACAGATCCTCCTGTTCCTCCTCCCTCTGGCCTCGTTTCGACTTGGTGTACGGCGTTGTTGGTCTTACACACACATATTAAAGACATGGTTGTAAACTTCTGGTTGGCTTTGAATAGTCTAACCTATCCCCATTATGTTTGTCAGCTCCACCACATATTGATGTATTTATTGCACAACCATTCATTTTAGAACCTGAGCTAGTTTTACCCTGCAGTTGTATAAAACAAAAAACAACCTTTGAAAATAATCCGGCTTCAATAAAGTGAATGTAAGCACAACTGGATTTGTAACCATCTTGACCTCCTCCTCATGGAGTAATGTGAGGATCCATACATCTTTCCACATTACAGGTTTTTATCATTTCCACCAATAAAAGGATTTCATATCTGAACTTTGGTGTGATGCATTCAGACTTGTTGAGGCACATACCCTTTTTTGGTGTTCTTCTTTTTGCTCTCTTGGGGTGGTGGGGTGGGGGAAGGGGATGGCGAGCGCTTCCTCTTCTTGGTACTGCCAGGTTTTTTGTCCCTTCGCTCGTCAGGTGTGGTCACCTCATCTGTCAGAGTCTTGGCGGAAATCCTCTTCCTCTTAGGGCAGCCCTCTCCCACCTCATAGTCTTCCTCGTTCATCCACTCGTTGTACTGGTCCAGGTCTAGAATCCACTTTGCGTGGACCTGTAATCAGAAGCAAAAAAAATACTTCAGTGACAGAGAAGGCTATTGTATCCTGTTTGCTTGCGCGTGACCCTATCGGGCATCAGATAGTCAAACAGGCCTTAGAGAGACTGCAAGGATGCTTCTTCAACTATTGACTTGAGACAAATAACTGGCTTGAGAAAATAACACTAACTGCCAACAGTACTCTGAATTGGCACTCAGCTAAGTACTGGATTAGACTTGGTTGCTCCAAAGGCTAATTTACAGCAACACAGTTGTGAGTGTTTGCAGTCGCAGGAAACACAATTCCTAAAATCCCAAAAAGCTATTATACTGTTTAAGCGTTTTGTTTCCCAAATCTCTTATGTGATGTAGAGCCATTACATTAATAAAAAGATCATGTTTAATTGTGTATGCATCCAATTCAACAGAACTTTTTTTATCTTCTAGTCAAGATTGAAAATGAAAACTGTGCACATGGCTGTAATGCTGTCGCTGTGAAATGTAGAATGTTTGCTTTTATTGACTGATTTACTCTATCATTACACTAAATGCATCCTTTCAGTAAACAACTAAAATTAAAAAACAAGATTTGCATATGATGTCATTACATATGATGTCATTGAGTACAAAGGAAAATGAATGATTAAAGTAAGACAACGTTTTTATTAAAACCTTTCAACAAAGACAGAAGACACTGATATCTGCACATACACTGAAGAATCGACCCAAAAATAAAAACAGCAAATACCTTCCGGGGCTTTTCAGGGCTGGGGGGATCCTCCACTGCTGCTTCAATCTCACTGGCTGGGATCCAGGTGTCATAACTAGAAAGGCCGATGGACAGAGTAAAGGGTAATTACCAAAAAAATTCAAATAAAAATAAAAATAGACACTTAAAAACTATGTGTTAACAATTATCACTATACAACATTTTTGAGCCAAGCATTATCTTTGATTTAACTGCCGGGCCGCTTTCAGATAACCTGGTAAAAGACAAAGTCGATGAGCCCACTAATCACTCATCTGTGTGTCTGGAAACTGATAGGGAACTTTAGTTCGATTGCTGTCCTAGTGCTGCAGCTGTGTTTTTAGGCATCAACAAACCTGTCAGGAAAATATCCCCAGTGGAGCAGAACCTGCTTATCTCTTTTCATCACAGGACGCACCCACTCCTCTGGACCAAAGATATTGCATCACATTAGCACGGGTTATGCTTATGCAGCAGAAATCTTAAAAATGGCAAGCTGTGTTTAACAAGGGCTCACCTTCTTCCAGACTGGTGGGAATGGGCACCACAACATGAGAGCTGGAGGACTTGTCCTCAGTCACGGAGCCCTGTAACACATGAAACCATGAAGGTTCTACAGGCTCTGCAAGGACATCTCATCCCGTGCTTCAGAAGAAAATGTCAAAGTAAAAATGGCTTCCATTATCAGTGTTGGGAGAAAAATTTCTGTCATTAATAAGAACAAAAACACACACCTGATGTCTTTTGATGATGTCTTTCAGTTTCCCAAGCAGCTTTGGTTCTATGTCAGTGCTCAGGTAGATGATGGGTCTAGTCAGACAGTTGTTCTAAAGGCATTAAAGCAGGTATGATTTATTTGATCAAATAAACAGAAATTCATATACGGAGGACAATTTTCAGAAATACCCAGTTATTCTTACCATTGGGGGTCCTTCCTATTACTAACTTTAAAGTTCAGTTTGCCTGATTCATCGATGCTTTACATAAAAAGTGTTACCACAGGAGACTTGTAAACTCTCCATCACTGCTGTTTTCTGCATTTTCTTTGTATTTGGCAGGGGAAAGACATAAATTTGCCTTAGTTTTCCTCTTAATTTTTGAGAATCTGTCTACAATTAGGATAAGAACTTTTGCTATTGTATTGGGGAACCAAGGGTTTAAATGCTTTTCATTACAAGCTCACCTGTACTAAAGACTTCTCAATCGTCATGAACATCTCCACATTTCGGTCCATCCTTGATGGGTTCTGGAAGTCAAACCTGCGCCTACCAAGAAATTAGACTGGAGTTACACACGAAACGCCTATTTAGCGTAAATCCAACTGGGCACTGTAACTTCAGACTTCAGAGACATTACTTATGGCATGCTTCATTCTCAAAAGCTTAAGGTCAGCTAGAAAGACAGTCTTACCATCCTTGGTCACTCTTGAACTTGTAGGCTGCAGCCAGGATGTGGCAGAGAGCCCCCCCTGACTTAAAGTCCAGAAAACACTTCATCTGCAGATGGAGAAAAAACAGCAGCAAGAAGAAAGCATCACGTTTGGGAAAAGTGATGTTAAGTCATGTCAAATAGTGAGACAAACAGATAACAGCCACGTACAGGGAGCTTAGTGAGTGGAGGGTTGCTGACATGTCTACCGAACACCTCTTCCTGGAACTGGAGCAGCTGGACCACCAAACTGGACAAAGACTTATTGGTGGGAGGCTCGGCCTGGATGTACTGAGGACATGACAAAAACTGATGGTCAGATCAAACTGTGTGTTACTACTGCAAATGGATGACACTGTCGGGGACTGGGGGAATTAGACTGCTTTCACTTTTAATCATTCAAAGGGAGATGGGGCTCTGGGGTGAAATGTGGGATATGGTGGTGAAAATGAATCCACTTCATCATGATCACTTTTATTTCTTCATTGTAGGCACAGTATATTTTTTGATTGGACGTGTCTTTACACCACTGTGCTGCTCGGTGTTATTTAACACCGGTCATGGCTTCAGTCCCGAAGGCGCGCCACACAGGCAACATCTGGATCTGGACTGCTTTGCCGTTAGCCGCTTAGCTAACTAGCTAGCTAGCTTGCAGGCTAAAGTCACATTTTTTTCAAAAATCATTTCAATCCGATGAGACTGTGAGCTGCATTTGGATCGGTTTAGCAACAATAACGTATACGGATGTCTCCATTGGCAGCCGCATCTGGTGCAGCTGTTGGCTCAGCATCCTTTTGTATTCCGGCTCGAGTGAATCAAACAGCTGGACGCTCAGCAGCACCCTCCCTCCTCTCTTTGTCACTGCCTCTGCCCAATAGGTAAGTGCCTACATTTCAGGGTGAAAAAAGAAAGCCCCGTTTGCATGCTTAATAAACATGCGCTCAGTACCTTTTTGTAATTCTTTCCCAGCCAGACGCGGACATTATCAAACTGAGAAACGGTGTCAGACGCTTCGAAATATTTTACATTCGGGCCGCCGTCTTTCTTCCGCACCGCCATCTTTGCCTGCAGACAACTAGTCGATGTTGGCTGCCCCCCAGCGGAGAGAGTGTGTTACTGCAACAGCCGGGCAACCTGCCGCTGTAATGACCACATATGACCAGAAGGGGGCAGAGTGACGCAGACAACGCTTCCAGTCCCTCAGATTTCAAAATTGTGGCACTGCGTACGATGCAAAACTCATATTAACCAAACCAAGACAAAGTTAAGCCTGAGATGTGGGATGCATTAACATCTAACCGTAATCCGCTAATGCTGTGAGTGAACTGAGCTGATTTCCACCGCTCTATGGTTGTATGTTGTTCATCGGGATATTTTTTTTTCCATTTACAGAGGATAAACCTCAACCTTTTTCATTTTAAGTCTTGCAGTGAGCATTATGTACAGGTTTTCCATTCAGCACAGCCCATGCATCTGGCTGAGAATGTTAAGGTTTTTACCCCGTGACTGAAATTGTTCAGGATGCCCATGTCTAAACACAAATCATCAACATCGTCAGAATGTGTTCAAGACCAATTTTAGAGACTTTGTTGCTTTTAACCCTTTTCCTATGTCTCAATTCACCACTTCTTCTGAAGTAACTTTGAATAAAGCATTCTTTCATCCCATATCTGGAGTTTGATTGTTTTTTGTTTGTTTAAGTCATGCAAACCTAAACAACCTTAACAAGGACATTTTTATTCTTAAATATATGCCTTCCTGAAAATAATTGTGAGATTGAAAGACAAATTGTAAAACCCTGATAAGGACTAATATTTGTTTGGAAATGTGTAAAATGTTTTCTTATATTAAGAGCTGGAAGTCAATGACATTAAACAAGGAAATCACTCCTTGAGTTAATGAGCCAGATTTACAAGTACACAGGCAAAGAGGAGGAAGTGCATAAAATGTGATTCACACAATCAAAGTTGATTTTAAATTTGTTTGCCGAAAGTGTGGTTATAGTCATCCATCACAAAATCATTACCAGATTCTTTGTAAGTGAAGTTCAAGTTTTAAGAATTTACTCAGGTTTTCCTTTATTTCATACCTTGCTTATTCTGTTTCTATAAAGTCTGATCATGACTGGACTGGTCTTAAATGTGATTTAATGTGTTACAAACAAAGTGATCAAGTTTTCTCTCTTGATTGTTCATCATTAAGGAGAGAAAGAACTAATGAGGACAAAAATGTACCATGCTATTCTGAAGGATCCTTTTTGTTCCAAAATGGCAGAGACACTGATTTGAAATGTAGGTTACTCTGTAAAGCTGTCGTTCTTAGCAGGTAAGTGTTTGTGTGTGCAAGCGTGTGTGTGTGTGTGTGTGTGTGTGTGTGTGTGTGTGTGTGTGTGTGCGTGTGTGTGTGCGTGCGCGTGTTTCTTCTCTTAGGCCTCTGATAAGCCTCAAATAATAGTGTGTAAGAAATAAAAATTAATGCCATTTGAAAATGCACAGACTATATGCACGTAAAAACATTTAATAACAATGTGATGCTTTCTTCATAAAGGTGCTAGAAATTCTATGGGGGCACAGTTTTTGTCAAAAGTATTATGTTTACGTCAGATTATTGTTCGATTATCCTCTGTTCAGTGAAATGCTTTTTGTGAGATATAGATACATCCTGTTAAGCCTGCAGAAGTAATTTTTTAAACAATTCATCTTTAATAAAGGAAATTAATCTTAAATATATAACTTTTCACTGGAAGTACTTCTAATGTTAAAATATATACAATAATGTTGCATGATCATCACAAACAATATCACAATTTTGTATAATATAAATATGAGGCATAAAAAGTCATGTTTTTTATTTCTAAAATAAAACACTGTGTAGGACTACGTATCAGCTTAATCCATGGACCCAGAAATAAAAAGAACATTTGTATAAAAGCCACTGGAAATTTACTCAGACATGAAAGTGCAGGAATAAAATAGAGAATGAAATTTCTGACATGTCGCACTGTTTTCATTTCTCTGACCTTTTTACTGGTCCTCGTTAGTTAGAGGCTGAAATTAACCTTCATTAACAGACAATAGGTGTTAGTGTGTGTGTGTGTGTGTGTGTGTGTGTGTGTGTGTGAGTCAGATTGCGTGTGTGAATCTTACGTGACCCAGACTAATTTGTGAAAGAAAAGAGACAACACTGGGTAAAGGGAATTGCTCCTTGAACTAGCATTCTTCAGACTCCGGGCGTATTTGTATTTGCTTGTGTGTGTGTGTGTGTGTGTGTGTGTGTGTGTGTGTGTGTGTGTGTGTGTGTGTGTGTGTGTGTGTGTGTGTGTGTGTGTGTGTGTGGTGCACCTGTCTGCTCTGACGGAGAGAGAGGAGCCTATTGATTATTTTAATCCTCCTATTTGTGAGTCTGTGATCCTCTCGGCTCAGCCTTCCACAGGAGGATTGCTAATGGGCCTGAACGCTTCCCTCCTCAGCTCACTCTCCCTGTCCAATTAACTGAATGTTGGAATCTGCAAGGAGAGAGCGCTAAGACTCAGAGGAGGGGTGAGGGGCCTCTTTTGAGACACAACCCCACCAAATGCTCCTGCAGTCCAGTATCTCTCAGACCCTCATCTGCTCCACATTCAGCAGGAAACCTTGTTTTTATTCAAGGGAGGCGAGAACTCCCTATCATGTTTCCATGTTTCATTTTCACTCGGCGGCTTTGCTGAAACGCAGCAGACGAAGAGGAAACAAGGTTTTTAATGGGAAAAATCTTCACACATGCCGCTGCGGCTGTAACTCCAACATGTCTGAGATGTTTAAGTAATTCTTCCAGTTGTATGTTTTGCTCTCATGAAGCAGATTATGAGAACCAAATATTTGCATAATCATAATACCTGAACTCAAAAAGAGATGTGTCACAGGGCTTCACTTCTCCTGAGTCAGGGTCTTGCGGTCTATGGATCAAATGTTCTATTCTGTACATAATCAGCAACAAGGAGAAAATATATCCTCATATGTAGCTCATGGCGCTGGGATATTGAACAAAAATGTATGAAATTGCTCTCAGATTTACTTAAAAAAAATATATCTGAATCTGTTTGGTGTAATGTACTCCATCTTATTTTGCCATATTGCTGGGTTTGATATAAAGCAGAAAAAAAGTTATTACAGTTGTACGGCATCTTTATTCACTTAAAATTCTTAGATAATTTCTAAGAATTCACATCTAAAAAGCTTTAGGATTGTTTAATTTGATTCTCCCTTTACAGAATGTAAGCTGACACATAAATTAAAGATGTTTATCAAACAAGCATCCACATGTTTCGTAAGGTCATTTCTTCCTTAACACTCTAACAATAGCCGAAAATTAACAGGGCAATTCAGTATTACACAGTCTATAAAGAGATAAACACTAATATGGCAGTTCGAACAAGACACTTTACAGAAATTATCTTTTAATGCTGAAGTGTTGATGTTTGTCGAGGAGCAGATTGTATTTTACTGTACAGGTAAACATGTTCTGCAGTGGTGAAAGTGACGAATCAGCATCTTAACTTTGCTATAGGACGGTTTATATTTCATTAATTTAAAAAAGACAATAAACATGAGCCAAGAAATAAAAAACATGTTCTTCTTGGTGACAACAATATATTATTTTGTTTCCTTTTCTTTTTAATTGTATTTCATAATCTATAAGGGCAAGAGAAATATATGCAGATTACAGAACAAATACACACAACTCAGCTTGCAAAGTACAGTGACAGCAATTTATCCACCCTGCTTGCAAACAAAGGTAACAGTGCAAGAAAATACACACAGTCAGATGCAGCATGGTGCAAAGATTATGTAAAGCCGCTCAGGGGGAATGTCTGAGTCCAATATACAGTGTCAGGGTGATTTTCAGTTACAGTACAACAATGAAGAGTTGAAGAAAGAATTCACAACCAACCTAACCCAACCATTCTTTCTCTCACACACACACTTATGTGTATATATATATATATATATATATATATATATATATATATATATATAT